CATCAGGACAAATAAATTGACACTCAAAAAGAAAATCCAAAAGAAATCACTAAAGATGGGAGACACATGGAAGGGGAACTCGGTTTGGAGGCAGGGGAGGAGCAGGGGAGGGACAGCCCGCGGGTGAGCGGACCGAGAGCCATCCCTTTGGGGGGCAGGGGGTGAGGGTAGCATCCAGGCATGGGCTCAGAGACCGCCCGGCACTGAAGCCGGCAGGGACCTGCCCGAGCTCTGCCCACAGGGGGACAGAGGGGATGCTTTTGGGGACCGTGGGGTCCTCGCACTCACTGGATTGTTTTCTGGATTTCGAGGAGCCCTTGGATGACTTTTTGGGCTTCTTTATCCGCTGGTATTTCAGAGCTTCGAGCCTCTCAGGTGCAGCAGCGTCCCCGGACGGAGATGGACATTTTCTAGGAAGGAAAAGCAGACAGGCGCTGTCAGAGACTCTTACCCACGTTCGGGCCTCCGGACGTCCCCGCTGGGGGATCGGTCGACCCCAGCCAGCTCTGCCGTGGAAAAGGAAAAGGTGAGAAACCCGGGGCCGAGGAAGCGGGGCCAGCCAGGCGTGCCGGAACGTGGGGAGGGAGGAAGCGAGGCGCCTGCAAGTGCCGCTCCGCGAGGTCCCCGCCATCCCCCTACGTCTCCTCTGCCTTGCCAAGCGGCCCCACGAGCCCGGCTGGTCCCGCTGGCAACATCCAACACCGGCCCCGCAAGAGAGCCACCGGCACCCCAGCTCACCTGCCTGCCACGTCAGCACCGCTAAACAAAAAAGGACGGGGCAGATCCTATGTCCGATAAGGCATTTCTGGGAAGTGATGGGAAACCCCTTGGGATGGAGATAGAGGAAGAGACAGGCAGAAGCGGCACAGCAGCACCGAGACGGGCACCGTGAGCCACCCGGGGCAGACAACACCGGCACCACAAACAGCAGGGAGGCAGGATGCTGCCCGGCCCTGCTCCCACAGCCAAAAAAAACCAGGGGCCACACAACAGACAGGGACATGAAGGGCACACGCCGACACAGCCGGGAGCAGTATCTTGTTCCCAGGTCCCTGCTATATGTGACAACAGAAACACAACAGCACAGGAGTGTCTACTCCTTAACACCAAGAGGCTGGGAGCTGGGTTTTCTCGCCCTGTGGGACAGGACATTGAAATGGAAGCTCTGACAAGGTTTTATTGCGAGGGACAAGGAGGGGATTTGCAAAGGGGTGTTTCCCACAGAGGAGCCAGAAGTTGTGATAGTTTTCCAGCTTTAGCCCCTGAGTAACTCTTCTACAGCAACCAGCTCAAGGTTAAGTGGTCTCCCCTTTGCAAAGGGATTTTTTGCTTGCTTTCTTCACTGTACTTGTTTTTCCTGTCCGAGGACCAGACAAGTATGACTGCTGTGGAGAGCAGAGCAGTAGAGGAAAACCTTTTCCTTAGGAGAGCATCGGTCTAGCTCTCATCTGTAACACATCACAGCATTCCTCCCCCCTCTTGCTGCTTTCCCATTGTCCTTCCCCCTCTCCATTTTACTTTCATGTCCCTCCAAGTTGCACCAACACCTAATGCCACAGAAGCAGAAGTCTGAGTCAAGGCAGTTGAGGCCACAGGTAACGACCTGGGATCAACCTGAGTCATCACAGAGCAACCTGCACACAAGGTGCCCGGAGACGACAGGGGAAGCATCCACAAAGCGCCTTTCATTGCAATAAAGCCAATGCTCGAAGCCAGGCTCCAGAAAGAAAAGCCTGGAGATTTAAACCAGCATGCCTCTAACAAGCCAGTCCTACCCTTCAAAGGAGGAGATGACACTCTTCTGCTCTCACAACTCAGTCACCAGAGGTCAGCGACCAAACCTTTTCAGAACAGCCACACAGAGGACAGCACTGAGGGCAACTCCTGCATCTTCAGGCGACTGTGACTGGGGCAAGGTTCAGCAAACTCCGGGAGCCACAGGCTCTTCACAAGGCAGCAGGATGGGCAGGTGGAGGAGCCGCCTTCGCCGGCTGCAAGGACGCAGCATCGGTGCATTCAGACTCCTGCTTTGTCACCAAAAAGCTGTGGCCGAACTCATCCACCTCATTCCTGGTCTGTCAGTAAGCTGAGACCCGTCCAGCATTGCAAAAACGCTGCCGGTGCTGGCAGGGAACGGGTGAGCACATGGGCTCGAGCACAGAGCCCCAGCACACCCGGGCTGCGGTACAAGAGCACATCCACCTACAGCGAGTTTGGAGCTTCTCATCTCCCTTGGGTTTCAGGTGGAGCCTCTCCAGAACTGAAGACACCCCGCAGGCTTTCCTCTGCGAGTCCCCGCACATGCCACCGCCGCAGAGAGCACAGCTCGGTAGCAACGCTTTACGTCTGAGATCCCAAGCAGCTGCCGGAGCTGTGATGCTTCAGCTGGAGTGGCACAGGCGAAGAGCTCCCAAGGGATTTTTCCCCATGGGGAGCAGAAGGGGTTGTTTTTGAAGATGCGCGTGACTGCAGAGCTTCTCAGTTCTGCTAGCAGCATTGGAGAGCACAAGAAAAGCGCAGTGTGAATTGAAGCAGCAGCTGGGGCACAGCAGATGCAACGGAAACCCAAAGACTGGGGACCCTTTTCATGTTTCCCATCGCAACAGAGACATCAAGGCGTGGATGCTCCTGGAGAGCCTCTGTTCCAGCTCCCAGCAGAGCAGCACATCAGCCGAAGATGAAGCACCTCATTAGACAAGCTGGTAGAACTGCTGGCTGGATCCAAGCGAGAGCCTTCCCTCGTAGGAAAGACAACGTTTACAAGCCCGTACAGTTGCTGTGCTTAATTGCCTTCTTCCCAAGTGCAACCAGCTTCTCGTGAGAGATGCTGCAAGCAGCGGCTCCGAGCTCTGTTGGGGCACTGCCCGCTGAGCTGCACCCAGCACTGACAGCGGCCAGGCTGCAGCCCCGTGCACACGCTAGCTCAGAGTAAGACCACAGGGACCCGAAGGGCCAACAGCATGGGACTTCCCTGCAGTAATTCCTCCTTGAATGGTCAATAGCAGGCTTTTTCCATTTTATATCCACCAAACACAAATATTTGCACAAGAGTTACATTCATGTAGGTACTTGGCTAATTGCAGCCTTGACTACGCCAATCCCAGTCCATCTCCCATGGAGATCACATGTGCCAAGCCCTGGATGCCAGCAAGCTCAGCAATCCTGTCACCATCCTGCCCATCAGCATCTGTCTTCACCGCCTGTTCCCACCGCCCAGCTTTGCTAATATTATTAAAGCTCAACTTGTAAAAGGCTCTTGCTCTTTCCATTCTTTTTTCCTTCTAAGAAGATGCTACTGTGGCATGTTGACAAAATTAGACAGATTTACGCAAGGGATTATGAGGAAATTGCCTGAAGCTCGTTTCCACTAGTTCTCCGTAATTGGACTTGTATTTATGCACACAAATATAAACAGCGAGCGCACTGAACCCATGTGTCACCATAAATACTGTCTGACCTCTGGCAAGGAAGAGATACAGTGGAGGACGAAACGATGTTACGCACCAGCCAAATTTTATCTGCTCTACCCACCCTTTATTTCTTCAAAGGACTCTGAGTCTTTCAAATTTGTTTTCATTTTAAGCTCCGCCAAAAGCCTCTTCCCTGCCCCTGGAGTTAGCATTTTGGGCAGCTGCCCATGCACGAGAGATATCTTGAACACCAGCAGACAAGGGGTTCAGGGAGGCGGGCAAACTTCTTCTAGAGACTTCAGTGTAGAGCCAAGCAAAGGAGCTTCAAGAAGCACACGTGAATTCCTGACGCAAGCCTTCTGGAGAGATGCCACAAACACCCGGTGCAGCAGTTTTCCTCGAGTCTTCAAAGGACAATCCTTCTGAACGAGCAAGGGTCTGAACTGCATGGACAGAGAGGTACTGGAGAGGCCACAAATGTACCGAGGGACCTCAGAGAGCCCCAGGACAGGAGGAGGTAGCTAGGGGAGAAGAGCTATCCAACCCAACACACATCAGCTGCTCTTCTTCAAATGTCTTTCCACATACAAAGCGAAGATGTAAGGGCGAAGGCCCCATCACTAACCTTTTTCCACCCAAAAGGGGGAACCCACGTAGAGGAAAGGACTGGGAGATTCAAGGGCACAATACATGTATTTGACCTCATGGAGGTCTCACAGCACATGTTCCCCATCTCCTTCTCTCCTTGAGTCAAGACAGTGACATCCAGGAATAGTTTGGACATGTTAGAGCATCCACTTGGACCAGTTAGAGCATCCACTTGGACCAGAGCCCACCATGTCTCAGCCACCGTGTCCTTCAACACTTCATCCTCCTCAGACGGAGAGCTCAATTCGCCTACACGAGGCTCCATTTCAAGCTCAAGTCCTGCACAATCCCGTGAGATGTCCTGCAAGTTGGAATTCCCCCTCTGCTCTGAGGCAGTGCTGGCTGCTGCCTCCATCCGGGGATGCCATCGCGCATTGCTTGAGATCCTTCAGCGCGAGAGGTGCTAGAGAAACACAGCGGTGACGGCCCCTCGTCCCAGAGCTGCTGCTGCTGCCGCCACCAAGGCACCGCGATGAGGGAGGAAGGGGCTGGTCACAGCAGGGAGCACACCGGAGAAGGGGGTCCCTTCTACGGGTCTGCAGACACCACAACTCATCTACACAACAGACTTCACCATGCTGACAGGAGAGGTGCGGGGAGAGAGGGCGAGGGAAGAGGGGCCGGACTGGAGAGGAAGAGGGGGATACAGTCACGGGGAAGGGAGGGGAAGAGAGGAAGATAAATGAAAAACAGGAGTGAGAAAATATATAAGTAAATTAAAGAGACTGAAAAGAAAAAAATAATAATTAAGAAAGAAAAGAAAAACGCACTCAGACAAGCGGACTCACAACTTCTCCAAGCGGGAGGAGGCATGAAACACATGCAGAGGATCAGCACATGGACAGTCTTTAAAGGGGAACCTGTTTTCTTTCAAGCTGGGAGTGAGGGGTGCTCTTCCTCCCACACGCCTGGCACCGATGTCCCTTCGTCACTCAACGCTACGCCACGGCCAAGCGCCCAAGCTCCCGGCGTCAGCAGCGCTGTCCCGACAAGGGGGGGGAGCCAGGATGGCCACCCAGGGCAGGCTGCGGTGCCGAGGGGCGCGGGGGCTTGGTGCCTTGTCTGTGGTTTTTGGGTTTCCCTCTGCAGGGAGACGACAGCCCCCTCTTCCCCCTTAGGAGATGCATCACCGCGCACTGCATCCAAAGAGAAGATGGGAAAACTGCTCATGCCGACTCAGTAATGGCATTATTTATCTCTGCCAGACAGTAAAAACTACCCAACCTTCACCCAGCGAAAGCCACTGTGCGACAGCCGCCCCACGCCTGCTCCCAGCGCCAGGGGCTCAGCTGCAGCCGCCACCGAGCCTGCAGACTGCCTCTCCCTCTCCTCCTCTCAGCTTTTATTACTGCAGTACAGAAATCCGGCTGGTCTGGTATAAAAATCCCTGTGCTCCGCATGCACTGACAATTTTATGACCCCAAATCATCAAGAAATTACTTGGCTGGGCTCTTTACAGGATTCCTCGCTTATTAAAGCGAGATTTATTCTTCCGGCCTCTCCTTTTTGGGGATAATGACTCTGGAGTCGCTCCTGTGACTCCAACCCCCGGCAGCATCTTGGAGTAGGACACACGGCTGCTCCTCAGCAAACGTCCTGCTGGGCAACGTGACCCTGCTCCTGAAACCCCATCAGAAAGCAGCACCCATCACCGGAGACAGGAGCCAGCCAGGATCTATGCAAGAGGCACACCAAACTCGGACGTGAGCCTGGACTCACCTCTGCTGTGCTAAGGCCAATGTTCACTCATGTCCCTAACGCTCCCGGGGCAGGGAAGCACCACGGAAAAAGAATTGAGAAAACAGCCACGTCCTTGCTGAGGGCTTCCCTATTTCCTGAGAAGTCTGGCGCAGCCCAGATCTCACCAAGGCTTGGCGCTAGCTTTGCTCCTCATGGGACACCCTGCTCTGGGATCAGCGGGGGAAAACAGAAGAAGGTGGCCAAGCGCTTAAGAGCTTCGGAGGCTGCAAGGCTCAAACTGGAGGGGTTTTGCCATGCCAAGAGGATGGCTCCTCCATCACATACCCACTCCCATCGCCAGGACCTGACACTCCTTCCTCCCCTCTCCTGCTCTCCCCACCCCAGGACAACCCTCCACATCAGCTGGAGGAATTCCTCTCTTCTGGAAACATCTACCTGATTTCTCTAGGCATCTCATCTCTCTTGTGAGGCTCTTTTCCAGTCCAACAAGGCTCCTCAGGCTTTAGGAGAGCATTGGCCAGGACCTTGACTCTTCCCATCCAAGGCAGCAAAGCTTAAGTTTTTATAAGACCTGTCCTAAGGAAGCTTGGGCATGGCCAAGCCCTAGAAACGGTCCCATCCACAATCCCACCTCTCCTTCCATAACCAGCCTGGCTGACAGCCAAAAGGGTCAGCATTCCCACTCCTTGGGGTCAGCAATGACGGTTATCCCATCTGGCTTTAACAGTTTTAGCGACATTCTCTGCTTGTAAGGTCTGAAAACCACCTCCCGATTACTCTGTCCCAGTTCCAGGGATGCCCATGGCCATCTAAGGAAACCAGCCCCATGAAGGCAGCCTGAGAAGTATTTTCTTGGGAGAGTCTTTCAAGATGTGCTTAGGGCTGTTTAATTACAGCTGGATCAGAAAAAGTCTTAACGATTTCTCCAAGGAGTATTTCAAAGAGGGAGGGCTTTTACTATGACTACACTTGTGACGGGAACGATAAAACACCTCACTGGCAGCCTGAAACTATAATTATGCTGCTGCCAACCATACAGTCCATCTTGAAAGAAAGACTTCTCCCATTTTCCATGATTGAGAAGACTTGGGAAGAAGAAAACAGATCCAGGTACTGATGGGAACTAAATTCTACACGTCCTGGACCGCAACTGGAGACTGATTTTTGGAGCCCCCCTCCAAGAACAGTGTCTGCAGCTGGTTGCTCCCGAGGTGGCTGTTTTAACAGGCTCCAGGGGGTGGCCATGAGATCCTCCTGGTTTGGATCGGCTGGGACAACCCCACCTCAACACACACCTCCCTAACACCGCACAACCCTCGCGCCACGCAAGCCCTGCCAGGGCTGAGGGTGCCACGTATCACCGTCCACTAAGAAAGGGAGGGCGGCCATGGGGAGATGGCAGCTTGGCTCATCCCAAACCCCAACATGAAGACACAGCTGCCGCCACCGGGCTCTCCAGCCCTGCCGCCTCCCCGAAGGCAGGGGAGCAGCAGCATGCTGCTGGGAGGGGAAACCCAAAAGCCACAGAGACTGTGCGTCCAGAGGTGTTTCCTAGTGTTTTCGGATTCCTTATTCCCCTTTAAAGGAAGAGATGGTATTGGAAAAGCCCCTTCCATGTCCCCTCTCATGCCCCGCTCCCGGCCACCCTCCACAGCGCCCACACCATCCTTTCGGACATGGATCACCCTTACCTATTGAGCTGAGGAGAAGCTTGTCTCGACAACACTGCCCAGATAGCTGAGATTAATCAAAAACAAAGCAGTTATCAACACCCGCAAGGAGCCGAGCTCCGCAACACATCAGCACGTCAACAACTCCAAAGGAAAAGGAGGGAAAGAAACCAAACTGAAACACAAACGAAACGAGGCTGGAGAAGAAAGGGGGAAAGAAACAGAAGAGAAAGGAAAAGAAGAAAAGAAAACAATAATCAAAGTGAATGGATACACTGCGTAAAAGCACGGACAACAGTGCTGCTCTAACACGGATCTCTCCTGGAGCTGGGTCTCCTCGGGGTGCCCTGGCTAGGAGACATGGACCTACATCTACGTGCTTAACTGCACCGCTCCATAGCTGTGTTTTCCAGAGGCACACAGAAGTCGTTTCAGGCTCGTTCAGCTCCTCTCCCTCCCCATCCTCTCCCCTGAGCCCTCCTTCCTTCCCACTGCGCACCCCAGCCGTGCCGGAGGGGTTCTCTAAGGCCATAACGCTTCCAGGTACCAGAGGGCAGGAGTGAAATGCAGAGGGCACTGCGGGGTGAAACGCTGCCTCCCCCCTCCCCGAAACACACGCCTCTTCTCCGTATGCCTCTAACCGCGCCGGCTCCACGGGGCTGGATGCCCCGGCCCCCCAATTCCCCTCTGCCACAAGCCGGAGGGGGGGGGTTCGACCCCGCCAGACAACAAGCCAAAATGAAGCAAGACAAAAGGATGGGACGAAAGCACGGCT